CCGGAATCTGTAAAAACCGAATACCGGACAGTTGATTGGGGACTACAAAGTCAATTATATAGATAATTACTCTGACAATACCGGACGCCGAATGTGTGAAAAAACCTTGTTTGTACTTATCAATTGGTTGTGTCCTAATACGCTAACTGAAGCGGCTAACGGAACAATAATTGTCTGATTTGTTTATAATGTCTCTTTTCACAGTTTGATTTATTGTAAGGTATAGATGTTACCGTTTTATATAAATGCCAAAATGCACGAGATATTGATCAATTAAAATCAGTATGAATAAAAAATAAAGTATTTTTCTATTGTGTTTCGCAACGGAAACGAAATTTATCGGCGCTTAGTTTTATTCCATGGGCCGACAATAATTCGACGAGAGCTGTCTACAAGTGACAAAGTTAAATTAATTAAAGACAGTGAAGCTTTGCCGAAAACCTACTTTAAAAAATCTGACCAATATTTCATTATTATAAACAAACAAAGTAAACTATATTCGTTAAATCATTACCCATTACCCAAATGTAAACATATGCGGATGTACTGTACTCGGACTTGATCGTTATGAGAGTTACTGCTATTCATATATATGTTAAACTTTTATGTCTTTATATGCAATAATGGGACAAAAACAATTAAAACATATTTTTTTTGTATTCTTATCATCTCTTTATTTAGCAATATACGTTCACATGATCTTGAAATGCAAATATACAGCATCCTTAGTAGGTCATTGCTCGGTTATAATATAAAATCCTGAACAGCTGAAGGGGACATTGAGAATACCGGACCGCTGAGAAAACCGGACAAAATCCTCAGTCCGAAAGCCGTCCGGTTTTCTCAACTTTCACTGTATATGCACTGCCATGCAATACCATTTTTTATAGAGTCACAAAAGCAGCAGGGGTATGTGATCTTACTCTTTCACAACTTGATTTTTGTCCCTTTCTTGGCTGAGTATTTGGAAAGAACATGTTATGCTTTGAAACTATTACTCTCCTATCATGAATTGACAAAAAAAGAAATCCTGTTTAACTAATTTTCTAAATCCAGAAATCAGTATATATTACCTAACAAATCTATCATATGGGAACACTTAATATTACAATTCTTTATTTTTATAATTTCTTCATTCAGAAATCTGAGTATCATTAAAACATATCGTTCATACAGAAAACACTTTAAAATTAGAAAAAAATCTAATTGGAATAATAAATCTAGCAACACAGTTAACAAAATAATAAGCCTTGTGAATCTTACCCGTACGAAAAAGATAGCAGGATTCCGCCTAATATTAGCAGGAAAACGCTTAAAATTTCCGTGTATATAAGATTTTCCTGCTAATTTAAGACGGACACGGAATTTTGTAAAAAATCCTGCTAAGCAATTTCATATTCTGCCTAAGGCTTAGGCGGAAAATATGGGATGAGCAATAATTTAGACGGGTTTTAGGACTTAGAATTTTGTCAGTTATTTGTTAACAGGAATTATGTACTTAGAGTTTTTTGTTAACCAGAAATTGAACTTAGAAAATTTTACTAGACAGATTTCTGAATTTGGGAGAAATTTCTGCAGATGACAGGTAAATGATAAATCGAATATTAAAGGTGATCAACAATTATTTTGCTGCTTTTATTCATTGTTAATTTTCAAAACTAAAAATATTGTTTGTACAAACATAAACATACATAATCATTAATTGATAAAAAAAACTCCACAACAAAACTAAAACTTAGAACATATATAATGATGTTGTGATGACTTTTGCATAGAATATATTTTCACTGTGTTAAATTTGGGTATGAACTAAACTCATATATTAAGCTCTTTAATGTAATATAATTAAATGAGTAATATCCCTGAAAATTTCTTATCACCAGGATAAATAAATAAATACTGCCTCTAGTAACCACTCTACTATGATTTAAACACCATAGACCTGATAACACACAGGTCAGATCGTAAATTCTGCTACAGTCCAGACTTTTCCATGTGATTTATTTGGGGGGAAGCAACAGTTACTTTGTACATTTTATATGATGAGTCTGTAAAGAAGGACTTTGCAAAGTTTTTTTTTAAAGATATTTATTATGAATTTTGGATTCTTTTCCCATTTATTTTCTGGTATTTTTATATAATTGTGAAAATAAAACGATGGGTTGGATTATCCCTATATACCATCATATCATGGACTTGTCCATAATTTGAAATCTAGGAAATATGGGTCAGCAGAAGCTGAGACAGTGGAAAGAAAGCAAATAACAAAGGATTTTATTGATAGTTAAAAAATTGTGGTGATAATATATAAGCAATTTTTGAGATAATATTTTGTTTAAAGTGTAAGGAATTGAGTATTTTTGAATTTTTCAAAAAAAAAAAAATAAGACTTAACCTTGTGAATGAAAATGACAATAATCTGGATATGCTCAGTTGTAAATGAATTTTGAATGCTACATTATGACTTGGATAAGAAGATAAAATACCAATATCATAAAAATTCAGGTAAGTAACTTTTTGGATACATTTTAAACAATAAAAATATATTTCAAATAAATTAAATAATTTTGCATTAAGTTTGAGAGTAAATTTGTAACACTAAGTTTGGTTGTAATGAATTATAGTTTAAATGCATGTATAATTATAACTGCAAACAATGACAAGAAACAATAATATATAAGATATTAGTGGTGGCAGTGTTTTACTGATGACTGTTTGGTGTTTCAGGATATGTCTCAAGCTGGTGTAAAAAGAATGGGATAGGAGGAGTTCAAGGACAAGGATATTAACGATGCCATAACTTAAAAGGCAGATCAGTTATGCTTGGAATAAAAATGAAAACAACTGGCTGAACAAAAAACATTTACAGTGAAATAAAATGAAATAATTTGCCATGGATTAAAACAATACAATAGCAGTGCAATAAAAAATATAACTCGTGTTTCTGTACGTTTTTTGTGTGACTCTTTTACGTACTGTACATGCACCCTAATGTAGAATACATTATGGTAAAGCTCACAAAAATAACTTAAAAGCTTTGTAATTGTGATCACCTATTGTCTGTCTGCAATTTTGGATTCCAATTATTCTTATGCAGCTAAATAATAATGTTGTATCCATCCATAATTCAGCTTTATTAGTGTACTATCACAAAATTGAAGAACTTCATTTCCTTAGGCGGATTTTTTGCTAGTATTCCTTAGGAAGAATTTTCTCCTGCTAGTGATTTTCTAAGTAGGTATTTTTTTCCTGGTAAAAATATTTTAGGCGGAATTTTTTCCGGCTAAGAATTTTCCTAAGGCGGAATTTTCTCCTGCTAGTGCTTTCCTTAAGCTGAATTTTTTCCTGGTTAAATTTTCTAAGGAGGATTTTTTTCCTGCTACCCTAACTGTTTTCCTCCTAAGAAAATTTGCATATTTCGCAGCGTATTCCTGCTTATAGGAGGAATCTGTGATATGTAAACCTGAAATGCCTTAGACGGATTACGCCTAGTAGCTAGGCGGAATTTCTGCTTTTTTCAGGGCGGAAGTTTTCGTACGGGTATCATGAAACAAAAGTCTCGGATTACACTTAGGTCATAAAGCATTAAAGCAATAATATCAACATTCAATATGAACATTTACCACCAAATAAGCTTATAGAAAGATTTAATCACTACAATCACACATATATGACATACATCAAAGAGAGATATCACAAAAGAAAATACAGACATCATAAGTATATAAAAAAAATTTCTTCAATCTCCTGCTCGAGAAAACCATTTACATGTAAAACGAGAACCACTGAGAACCACCGTGTTTATAATGAGAGAACCCTTTTTCAGAAAGAAGAAAATATTAACAGTAAGAAAAATCAATTTACCATCATATATACAGGATGAGCATTTTGGTGTCTTTGAAGACTAAGAAGAAAAAAAAACACAAATGAAAGAACAGCCTGTAGGCTCTTCCATCTTCCACCCTCAGCATGTGCTCAAAAATAAGTGCCATATTGTTTCTAATTAATGCCATGGGTATACGTTTGTTTAAAAATGGGACGTTCTGAAGAGCTATAAATTTATGCTGTTAAATATGTTAGTAGATAAAAATGGTAAATAAATATATGTTAATCAGTTGTAAATTTCAATAAAATGTTGTTTTTTGGGGGTTTTTTATTTTTATTTTTAATTGAACACTAATTATGGAATAAAGTTTCTGTGAGCAACCTACAAGGTAACAAAATGTCTTCTGCAAAATGTGGTAGAGGGCACTAATTGGAAAGGGGACATTAATTGGAAACAATACGGTAAGTAAAAAATCCTGTGGCCTACCTATAGCATCATGACAAAAATATATAACAAAAGTTATAGCCCTTGGTTTTCAGTAAGTTGTACAAAACTACTAAGAAGACAGTAAGTGTACAGTTTGTCAGTTTCCGAGTTATTTCACTGCAACAAAAACCGAAGAACAAAAAAATGAAAATGAAATAAAAATTTTGAAAAAAGTAAAAAACTTATACATATAAACAGTGTTTTATGACTCATAAAAAAGTTGCATGGTCCTTGGCATTTTTGTACCCATCTAATAAGAAAGTAATAATTTTAAAAAATGAATAAATAAATAAACACTGCAATGGCTGAAACATTTTGGAGAAAACAAGACTTGAAGCAAAAAATCTTTAACATGTATGCTTAAACTAATTAAGTAACAACAGAACCTCATTTTTCAGTTGAATTTTTTGAGACAACAAAACTGAGTATTTTCCAAGGTCTTTAAAATGAAATATCTTGGATTTGTTGTATTAGTATTTCAATTGTGAATAAAAATATGGAAGTTGCACTTAAATCTCTTCAATAAGAAATATAAAATATATATTTTTAACAAAACTGTAAAAAGAAAAACTTGAAATACTGAAATTATACTTCTAGTACTTGAAGTACGATACCCATTATGGGATTAAATAGGGCTTTTTTGTTGTTGTTTTTTGTTTTGTTTTTTTTTTGGGGGGGGGGGGGGAGTTTGGGGAGGGGTCGGGACATACAATATTACATCAGATTAAAGGTACAAATGATAAAATCCCCTTTATACAGATCTATGCCTTGATTTGAAATTCCAATGTATTATAGAGAAAAGCGCCTTTTTCAAAGTTATTATTTCCTACTGACTAACAGAACAGAGAAATAATGTGGGATAAAACAGACAAAGGCCTCATGTTACAGTTAATCAATATCATCTTTTTGTGTGTTTTTTGCAAATGCATTTGAATTATGTATAGCCAATACAACATAAAACTTTATTGTCACGAAACTATGGGATCAATACTTTAAATATTTTAACAGGCCTGCCTATACATGGTTTATAGCAAATGGTATAATATTGGACAAGGCAATATTGTTTTGCTCTGTATATAAAGGCATTATAAAATAGATAGTAGAATAAAGTTACTATTATGGGTTTTTTTTATAAATAATTTGAGATGAAAGCTCTGAGCATAATTTGAATTAATAGCAAGTATGTTTCAGGCAGTAAGAAGTAAACCAGTTTTAGTACTAATACATCAGAGAAACATGGCTGTGATGGGTACCCTTTAGTTTATTTTATACAAATTTATTTTAGTAAGATTGTGCTGGAAGTTTTAAGCTTATTAAAACACCCCTCGAATCCGTTCCTGGAACCAACCAGTATTAAGCAATGAATGTAAAGTTTCTTGCTCAAGGAAACAATGGCTTGCCCCTTACTTGGTTTGAACCCATATCTGGTCAGCAATCCCTAGATTACTAGTTCAACATGTTGACCACTCGGCCACACCACCACACTTTGAATTTGAGTTTCTAAAACTGTATATATTTTTATATATAAATTTGATTGATATTATGAAAATCAAGCCACTTTAGATAAATTGTCATCTTAATACAGAATTATAATATTTAGTTTACTTTTCATTAAATCATATGCAACTTCAATAGTTTTTAAGGAAAGGAACAATTAAATATAAAAATTCTCTAACTAAATGTTTTTCAGTTTTGAACAAAAATATAAAAAAAAGAACAAAAACAAATAATATTGATTATTTTTCAAAAAGTAACTCTATATATAACATATATATTTCTTGTATGAACTATAATTGTCCAAAGTATATCAATTTTCAATGTAAATTGACCTGTAAATAATCCAAATTTTAAACAGGGCCAATTGAGTCCCCTTGTCGGACTTACACTTCCACGACCATCAACCTTGACACTATCTGCGAAGTCTTCATACTATATTCACACACTAAATTCACTTACACTGCCTCTGTCAACAAGTTTAGTATTTACAATACTATATTCACTACATATATATATGGCATGGCTACACCAGTTTGACTGGCAATTAAGTGATCATGCATTTTCCTCGCGTAAACTTTTAACAGATGTTTTAACATCATCTGACACATCAGTAGAAGTATTAAAACACACCTCACGATCATCATATGTCAGAGGTTCATAATCCTCAACCGAGGATCCTCCAGTTTTGTTGAGATTTTCATAGGAATGTACAGATTTATTGGACACTATATCGTCTGACTCCGCTGTTACATTAGCCATTGAATTATCTATTGTTTTACTTGAGTTAGAAGGCAGTTCAGTGTCATTTAACACATTGTTGTCTTTTGTAAGTTCATTTTTATCCTCTAACTCTGATTTTAGATCTTCGTCTTTTGTAATGTCTTTATCTAATTCCTCGATATTTGCATGTTCACTTGAGATGGAATTGTCACAGTTTTTCTCAATGGTATCACAATTTCCTGATCTTAGTTGTGGACATTGTTGTGCACTATCTCCGAACACGCTGTATTCATTTGGCACAGATTTACAAGATGTTTTTTGTAGTTCCTCCTCGTATGGGGCACTTGGTGTGACTGGTCGCCTATGGACACCATCTGTTGGGAAGGTTTTAGTACCATTCATTTCACTACAATCTTCTCCGTGTGAATTTTGATAGCTGGGCGGTTGAATATCTTCATTAAAATCAAGATTTTTCTTCGCGTTTGTACGATCGTGAATCTCTTCGTACATTGGTTCTATATGTTTGAGTTCATCATCCACATAATCGTTGCGTGCTGTGTTACTGGCATCCAAGTGTTCTCTTTCCGATGCTGAAATATAAACAATAACTCTATCATTCAGTGCATGAAACTCAAAAGTGATTTCTTACCATAACCTTTTGCCTTCTGGTGGCATTTTTACTTATTCTGCCCATGTGACCAGTGAATACTAAGGGTGTAACGGTTTACCGGTATACCGATATATTGCAATATGAAAAAATGAATTTCGAACCGCGGTACGATTTTTGGAAAACCGGTATTTTATAAAAATCATAATTTTCAATTAATTGCCTTCTAATTTTGTACAAATTTCACATAAAATCTTTAATTGGCAAATTTTGTTGGCGCCAACGTAAGATAAAAGTATTCGACAACCAGTACACTTAAAAGTCAATAAGCGGCCGCATAATTTACATAAGCGGCCCAGATGTGAAAGGTTACACGCGACTAGTTTTGTTTATCAAATTGTGTGACACTACTTTCTATTTATTCCTTACATTTTTATTAAGTTTCTACTAAAAATATATACATATAATAATAATATATAAATGTTACTCCATCTTTACATCAAAACATATACACGACAATACGTATTGCAATATATTGCAATACGCTTCAGCAAAATGGCAATATATTGCAATACGGTTTTTGCTGTATTGTTACACCCCTAAATTCACCAAGATCAGTCAGCACATCTGTGTACTGTCGGATCATGGTCTGCACTGTTCACTAATCATTACGTACTTAAAATCAATAATGGTTCAGTTAAGATATTTGGCATGGTAATAAAGGGTTCAAGTTGTGATTAACCTTTGTAATGATGACATTTTGTCATTCTCTTGATATTTCATGCAAGGATCTACAGCAGGATTTCAGTGGTCATGGCTTAAACAGGAATTTGGTCACCAGTGTTGAAGCGTTATATTTCTTCATTTCTTTCTTATTTTGAGGAACTTGGTCAGTTTGATTTAGACTTTGCATAAAATCTGGGATTTGGATAATAACCTACACTTTTAATGGAAATCAAGCAGTGCAGTGTTATATAAACATCTCATCTGAAAGACTGATTAGTAATTTTAGTTGGCCAGCCCAGGAATCAAACCTACATTTATTTTTATTATGTCGACATTACAAGTCTCGCACTCTTACCAACTGAGCTGCGGGCTGGCTATGCAGTAATGAGAAAAATAAAAAATTTAAGAGGTGCTAACTAATTGCTGCATGTACTTAAGTGACAAACCATATTATCCACAGGGCCAGCAAAATCAGATTTTGACATACTTGCCTATGTTATCAGAAGTATATCTCTGTATCATAATTTTAACAAGGTAAAGTATGGAAAAAATTCACTTTTCAGTTCAGACTATGGAACAAGTCCTGAGCAATGCAGACAATCATTTTAATCTTTTTGACCTACCCATGAATTCCAATACTGAGTAATACAAGTACATGTTAATCATTGTACACACTACAAAATACTCTGCACTAATGCCATAATAATGTAACTACAATGTCTTAAATCCTTTGTGAGTCAACATTTCTCCTCGTTCAATGCATTTACTTGATTTCGCTTTTATTACCAACTGCAGAGATATCTCCATTAAATGTTGATGCGTGTACTGCTCTCATTGAACTTTAATCTGGTTTGATGTGTCTCCCATGGTAATTTTATGTATTAGTACAGATAGAAGAGTTTGCTAATAAAGTCGGTGAAAATCCATGTAGATTCTACCAGTTTAAAATGGGTTTCTTGTATAAATGACTGTGCTTTTGTGTAGGAAGTTCTATGTACTTTTAAATGTATATAAGTCCCTGTCCTTTCAAAAGTATATAAGTCCCTGACATAGAAATTTAATTGAATATACTTGTCCGTTTTCCTTTTTTTTGACATTTCCCCTCGATAAATTTCTTTGAATTTTGGAAATAATAAGATGAAAGTTTCAAAAAGGTCAGCCAACAGTAAAGAGCCTTGTCAGACTGCGGTATTATTAATATCTGTCATATGTTGCCGTTCAGATCAGAACATCACACCACATCAGGTACCGGAGGGTGGACCGCACGGACAGGTATTCCGATCTGCAGGTACCTGTGGGACCATTATTCCAATCCGGACCACAAACACATGTCCGATATTATTTCTTGCAATTTCTACCAAGGTTTACCTCAATAATTTAATTTGTCAAGGAAATTAATGTCATATTGGCTCCTTTAGTATTGTCTTGTAGTAGTTCATGAATTTACCATTTCATTCATAATGGTAAACTGAAATGATGTCATCCTATAAACCCAACTCATTCATAAAATGCCCTGAAAAGATGTCATTATGGAGCATGTGACCCATCTGGTAAGACCCCCACCCAACCATGCTAGATGAAATTTCCAACATGGGTAAAACTTAAAAGAAACACCAGTCTGATACACAACAATATGCAGATTGGTCTGACTCCCTATTGAAGAAAGATGACCTTGAAGATATACACAACCATGTTTGGGGTAACTGATGATTTAAAATGTGACTACACTGTGACCTTGAACAAATTATCTTTATTTTATGATGGTTTGTACAAAAAAGTACCTCTTATATAACATACAAAATTAACAAGTCTGTCATCAAAGAACTGGTACTCTTGAAGATCTAAAATCATTGCCATCTCTTTAAAATTCCTTCTCCCTAAGAATTTTTAGCCAGGATCACAACAAAAGGCATAATAAGTGATTCCAAGAAAAGTGCACCAAAAAAAAAACCCTTTCCAAACCATACTCTAAATCAGCTCACATCCTTCTAAATTTAGATATTTTCCAATTTACCCAGATAATTATAATTACTTAAGTTTGCGATAATCACCACTAGGCGATTTAATGTGAGTGCTCTATAAAGTAAAATGTTTCCTGAAAGGTCTGCTTTGTTCCCATTATCTAGAGAGAACCGGGGAAACGTTCTAGTAAAGTGATTTACGCCTAAATCCATGTTTTAACTCCTACATTATTGTCAACCTAAGTGTATTAACATGGGTAATAAGTAACTACTGTTAACTCTAATTGAAATTAGAACCAATTGTGTAGGAAAGAAAACTAATTAAATTCTTGGCAGTCTTGACTTTTTTCTGTTTCATTTACATTCACAAAACACAATGTCGAATTGTCTTAAAAGTACTTGGGACATGTCTGACGATATCTTGTGTTTAGTGTTTATATTATTTCTTTAGAACTTTTTGTTCAACATTCAATACAGGAATATTGTTTGAATAGGTTTAATTTAACATTCAATATGTCTTGATATACAAAAGCAAAATTAATATCAGTACTAATCTGCATTTTGAAGTAGAGAAATTAAGACCTGCACTTTAGCATTGTGCTATAAAAAGCCTTTTCAGTCTATCTTTTATAAATATGCACACATAATAATGATTCCTTTGCAGACAGTAATAAAACTTTGAAGAGATAAACGTTAAGCAATTACAGCTGCATAATTTCATTAAAATCAATTCACAGAATAAACAAATTACAGCAAAACAAATATCTAGTATTATTAATGTTGAAGTCTAAAATTATAAATTATTAGTCCTTAAAGCTGCATGCCTCCAGATGAGCCAAATATTTCAAGAAAATCAAACTAGTAGAGAATGTGCTAAGATTCCACCAAGATTTAAAAGAATAAAGATCCGAGTAATAATTTACATGTTAAATATAATTAATGATTAATTTTGCAGTATTCATCACCATATCTCTACTGTGTGAATAATGCAGTAAGGGCTGATTTTTTCATATTTTGACCTCCTTTAGCAATTGGCATTGTAAGTGCCCTTTACTTTGTGAAAATTACTTTCTTTGTAATAGTTCTTTTCACAATATTTTACTTCTAAATACATTGTCAAAAATTTTCATGAAAATTAGCATGAATCTGGAGGCATGCTGCATTAAAGTGGCTATCATAGATATGATAACAAAAGGTATATGTTGCTAAGAGTCAAGCCAATTTGTACTTTGCAATCAGGCTAAGTCTTTATGCAGCAAGCGGGCTAGTTATAGTATCTCTATAAATGTATCATGAAATATCTTAACTGTATGATGACCAAGTGCAGACCAACGTTACTGGGCACGTCAGTACTCATTTTGAAATTTTAGATACAAGATATGATGTTGTACAAGAAGTGACACGTAAAAACTTTACGCTGATGTTGACACCAGGTTTGCATGAAAGCCCCAATAGTTTTTTTTATAAAGTCAATCTAAAAATGAAATATGAAGAATATGTTTTCATGTTTATATAAACAATCACACTTGACTTACCATTAGCAAAAGTGTATCCTGGTTGACTTGATGAACACATCCTACACCTGTATGATATAAAACAGAAACATTCAATGTTAGATATTGATGTTGTTAAAATTTACAAGACATAATAAATATGAAAAATCTTCTGAAAATATGCTCCTATAATATTAGTTTATTTTGTTGGACATTTTAAGTCATGCCAACACTGTGAAGATTATAAGCTGACTTTAGTAGCTTTACTTGTGACAGAAGACCTCAGATGCCCCCTTCATCAGTGACCATAACTTAACTCAGCCATAGAGACCCCTCATTAAAATATTAGTAATAAAAAGTTATGATTTTTAAATTCATTGAGGCAATTTTTTTTCACATGTTTGTGATAATCTTTCTGTCTCAAACTACTGAAATTTGGTTCTAAGGAAGATAATAAAGTAACAAAACATTACATATATAAAGCAGAAAGATGATCTGTTTTAATTTAAGCAATATTTGTTCAATAATAAGAGTATAAACCATCCACTAATGTGTTTCCATATTTCTCAGATATTAATTCATATGTGCTGGTTATTGTTTAACATATTGATTTTTATTGTTATCTACCTGTATAATATGCTCTGTAAATATAAACATGTCAGAGAAAGTCTACCCTAGCTGTGGTGATGAACAGATGTTTACATTAACCCTGAATTTGTTGAATGGACTCATCCTATTTTGAGTTTGGAACGTTCCATCGCGAGTTTCAGGGATTGTTAACAGTATAGAGGCTGGCCTGCCTGAGATCTGCACTGCTGGGCTGGCATTTTGACTTACTTATGTTCATTTTATCTGAAGCATATCTTTACTAGCCTATATGATATTTATAAAGTAAATTCAGATTCTGGAAAATTTTCACTTGTCCATACACTGGCCGTGGGACAACCTGGCCGTGGGACAACCTGTGCAATATGGGTAATTGTTTTCGCTTCCCCTATACTGGTGGCACAGTCTTGTCCTTATTGTTTCTATGATGAAATAAAAGGAATATTAAACAGGATATAGGATAAAAATAAAAATTACCCATTTCCACGTCGGAACACATTGATCACAATAATAACTATAAGGATAAGTAAAGCCACTGTAGCCACACCAAACCCTATAGCAAGGTCCCTCTCATCTGCCTTGTTGAAAGGTCCAGTCTCCGTCTTGGCTGACACCTCTACAAAATGACAATAACATGATGTATAATATACTTTAAATAAAAATCTATAATCATTTCAATAGCAGTAGATTAGTTAACTCATCCTGGGCAAAGTTGAATTTCTTACCATGCAAAAATGAATGAAGAGATGATAAATAATTATTAGGGAGGAAATTAAAGAAATTTTAAAGAGAAAATAAAACAGAAAACAACCTATTTTTATCAATATCTCCAGACTATTCTCTATATTCACATATAAATCATTGTGAATTACACAGCTGAGATACATGTACTACGAAACTCGGCAAATGTGGGTTTTTGAAGGCGGCGGCATGGCTGAGCTTAGCCGCATGGGTTCAAACCCCTTTCAGGGCAAGCCAAAAATTCCTTGAGCAAGTAACTGTACACTCACTGCTCAGTACTGGTTGCTTCCAGGAATGTCTTTAAGCTTATAGTTTCCTATACATTCAAACTAAAATAAATTCCGTATAAACCAAATTTGAGTTTTTTTCCATCTAATCCCATGTTTGACGAGTTCCGGATGACATCTTTTCATATTGATAGTAGTTGGGTATTTTTCTTTTATAAAATGGACAGTGTTTCCCCAAGAACATGCACTCATGATGGCAAAAACTGGTACAAATAGGGACATGCTATAATTAATATGCAGGTAGGTAACTTCTGTTAATTTCCCAGATTGTCAAAGCCTATAATATTATCAACAATGTAGCCATTGATATTAAAGCACCTGCTGATATTGTTTATGATAGAAAATATTGTCATTTAAAACAAAAATAGACCTGTATATATCTTGAAATATTCCAAGATTTATGTAAACTGGCTCTTACCAGATCGACCCACGTTAAATTCTTCTCATAAATCAATTTACCAACAAAGTGTTCCTGATTCAACATGGAACATGATGAATTTATAATATATATCATAATTTACAAACCTTAACAATTAAATTCGCTAAGCAATATATATAAATTTTCCATAGAATATAAGTTTACATATTAATTTTCATACAAATTAAAATCGAAATAAAGCCTGCAATAAACTGCCTAGTCTAATGGGAGACTTGTGAAAATCTGGCTGCTTGGAGACGATTATTACTGCTTAATTGAAATTAAAGGAAAATTTCAGAGAAATATCAGAATGGAAAAATAACAACTAGGGTTATCAATTTAATTGTGATGAAATCTCTCGGGGACGACTATAATCATTAAAGCCGGTATCTTTTTCCGTCTTTTTTTTCTAGATCAATTTTGATGGGTATCTCATCATAACCCAAACTGTTTTTGCAACAATGCATCATTCATTATTCTCTATTCATACTGAATATTCCTATCTGACAGAAAGCCATTTTCATTTTTTCAATTCATCATCTTTTGAAAGCTTGCGATATTGTCAGGCATATCAATCACGGTCTTCTGGAAGCTTTATGATTAGGACACCTTTATATTTATAATATACAATCATAATTCTTATGAAAAGATATTGTTTTCAATTTGCATTTGCCACCTGAGATCCATTCCAATCTATTATAGATGGGGAAAAGTGAACTTTTCCAAATTAGAAATAAACCAAACAATATGTGCCTAATGAAAAGAATTTCAGCAAAGACTTTAATAGGTTTATTTTCATTTCCGAGGATTGGGTTTTCAATTAGTAGATATTACAGTTCTTCAATTTATGATCGTATTAAATTATCAAAATTCGTTAAAATGGCTATAAAACAAGAATTCAATGCAATTCTAAGAAGCTCCTGTATTAATAAGACTCTAATATTAATGAGAATTTTTTTGGAGACATAGCAACCTGGGGTTATCTTAGTAATAAGGAAATACAATAACTTCATAAGCCTGTAACATCCAGTGTTCATTAATATACAGATTGATCTGTTAGAATGCTATGATCTTTAAAATGAGACAAATTAATAAATTGAGACCATTATTAGATAATATGAGCTTAGTTTTACATGTCGACCAATTGTGTTATTGATTTCCAAACATCTTCAGAAAATATTAATAAAGTCATGATGTCTATTTTGAACATAATATTCCTGTATTGTCAAGCAAATTATGAGATAAAAGGTAAATCATAAGATGACAGAATATAAACACAGCTTGGTAAGATATCTTTGGCACATTTTACATCGAGCAAAATACATTAATATGGTAGCTTTTAAAATATCCCGATTCTTGAGAGAGAAAAAAATTACCTTCTCAATTTTAGTAACATAACTGTCACATCTTTTTAATTTTCAGATGTTGCAGTTTGAAATTGTGTTGGTAACTTGATATGAAGCTAAATTTTTAAAAAAAACATTGTCCAGTATTCTGAATTTTGAAGTTCCAGAATTCAGAAGAATATTTTACATCGAAAAGAGAAGGGAAAAAATCGGAAAACAGACTTCATTCATTAGTTTTCAGATTTCAGAAGTTCCATAACAGTACTAAGGTTCTAAAACATTAATATGTAAGCTTTCTACATGACAACAGTTTCAAATTCATTCATTGATATTAATGTTTTAATATACAGACAAAACATGTTTCACATGGAGTTCATTTCGTCAAAAAAGAAAAGAAAAAAAAACTCAACTAGCTTATCATGGTGTGCACTGATCAGGTGGGTAGAATCAGTTGCTGCCAGCAGGAAAGTGTTAAAGATTCATGTTTTTGAGTAATATCATTCAAACTAATAAATATCCGAGGTTTGATATGCATGTTTTTAAAACATATCATTCAAACTCAAACATCTGAATTGTAAATGACTTAAGTTAGTATGACTAAGTTAATTTCAGTTTCTTAATGTAAAATTATAAATTAAATGTTTAAATCAATTATACAAAGGCAATTTTCTAACATATATTGTTAGAGAGTCTACATCAGATATTTATTACCGGGGTACATATCGTCACCTTAAGGTATTAGGACCCTAATGGGCACTATCAGGAACTAAAAAATTGACATCATAGGTCAGATGTATACCTTAAAGTACACCTGTATGCAAAATTTAAACAAAGTTTACCGTACGGAAATCAAGTTATGGCCACTTTTCTGAACTCAAGCTAGGATGTTATGAGGGCCCTTTTTTAGAAATGAGGAACCTTTAAATAATCTGCAATAACATTCTCATGAAAAATGTTTTCCCATTAATTTTTGGTAAGAAACAAATAGTACCATTCAGCTAAATCCACATAAGCAAAATTATGGTTTCTACTTAAAATTTATGAAATCTGTATAAAAATGTTACCCTACCCCACCCATTTTTACCACGTGTCTGACCATTTTTCTACTTAGGGAGCCTAATTTTAAAAAATTCTTAAAATTTACTCAAATGAGTGCCTGTTTTCAAAGTTTCCCTAAATTTTTAAAAAAGTATATTGGTTGATCTTGTAAAATATGAAATACTTTTACCGTCTAGTTTTGATTATATTACACTTTGAAAATATCAGGTTCCATATTTATTACTAGATTTAGCATAATTTAGCCAATAAATACCTATATAAATTAAAAAAATCAAAATTAAACACTTTTTTCTTTCCAAATGGGACATGAGAGATACATAAATAATGTTAAAAGAAAAAAAGAAAGAAAAAAAAAGTTGACCCTTCTGGGGATTGAACCCATGGCCCTCATTTTCAATGTAGTTAACAGTAGTTCTAGCCTATTTGAATACTCTTCAAAGCGGAGGTAATGCATTAGGGTGCTAATACCTTATGTGCAGTAACAGGTTAAGTCCTTCATAATTTCATAGGACTTAACCAGTTATTGCACTAAGAATTAGATGACAATTATGTTCTTTTCTGAAGCTGTCAGCTTGCTGTTTATTCAACCATTAATAAATAAAGATATATAGATATAACATCTTGTTTGATATACAACTCTTCAATTAAGCAAATAAAGTGTATAATTATATTAAACTGATGATATTAGACATAAATCAGGAAAGAAAAACACTTTCAAACTTTGAAATAAAACTCTTAATTCGATTGGCCGTTTAGAAAATAATGAGAATATCAAACTGTTAATATTAACTTGATCAGATATATATAAGGTAAGAAAACACTTTGCTTAATTTGAAAAAGACCCTCTCCAATTTAAAAGCCTTTTAGCTAATAAAGACATAAATAAGGGAGGACTGAAAGCTCTGTAATCGGAAATTCAGTGGTTTTTAATAACAAGTAAAGAGTATAATTTCACATAAATTTTCTCTGTAATAAATCTGACACTTTTATTTATTGTTATGCCAGTTGCTTTACATTTTCTTCTTTGAAATGTACCTTTATTCATCAGATAACTTATGTTCTGACTGTTCTGACAAGTCAAGCGAAGTAAGTATATTTTATTTCAACTAAAGGAATTCTAAGCTTCAGAAAATGTGAGAAGTATTAAAAGACCTGTCAGCATAGTAAGGATCAGAGGTTTTTTATGATGTTCATTTTACTTCATTGCAATAAAGGTCTTTCTCTCCTGTATGACAGTATTATATGACAATATATAATGAATATAAAAGTAAGTATTTCAGTAAGAGAATCAAAGACAAAATTTTGAATTGCTTAAAAAGCTCTGAATGTATCAGTAAGGAATAAATCTAGCCTTGAGGTTATAAAACTTTTTTTCTGAGTTCTGTCTCAAATCTCAGGGTTTTCATTGGTCAGAGAACATTCTGCACCTTGAGATTTAAGTTTGAGTTTAGAGAATTTGTTTAATTAACCTTGGACCCTGGCTTTAATAAGAAAGAGAATGCATGTTACATGTATATCATTTGAGGAAGGTAGCGCTGAATGTTAATAATTTGTCCTAAAAAGTAGTAAAATGTAAACAAAGTAGTACTTGCTCTACCATACAAAATACTAAATCGCTAAAAAAAATTTGATCCCATCAGTATCAGAAGAATAAATAACATTGAATGTTAGATAGTCATACTTTTATATGGCTAAGTCTTTGAAAGCAATTTGACTCTGGTGCCAATTTTGTGTATTATTTCATGCACAAGTTGACTAACTTGACACCTCAGTAGTACCACTAAACTTTTATAAGCAAGCTTCAATCCAAGAAAGAATTCATTAACCCTTGCATCGGGACTTAAACCCACAGCCTACTAAGTGATTAGAAATTTTAGAAATTGTAGAAATCAACAAGACCAGAATTATACCTTCTTCACAGTCCTTTTGATCCACTTTCTGTACAGCACTTGGTAACTCCACATAGTCCAGTCTGAAAATATAATTACACAGCAAGATTGAGACCTGATGTGACAATAATCAAAATACTGGTAGTAACTCTAGTCTTAATATTAACACTGTCCAGCATATACAACACAGAAAAACTTCTACAGAAGTGGCTGCACATAAATCTATTTCAGATCTATTGCAATATCTTCTTTTAATTTTCATTTTTTGGACACATTGACACAGTGAATTTTATTATGACAACTTTCCAGTTTAGTTAGGTATTATGTTACATTGACACTGCAAAGGTCATAATTATGATGACATTCTAGCTTAAGTGGTGAAGGAAGACACCTCAGAAACCCCTGACTGATAGATGTGTGGAAGTTGCCTGTAACTTGAGAAGTAGGAAGATTCAAAATACTGGTAAAAAACCAATATGATTAACTTTCTGCAGGTATATAACAGTAGAATCCATAAAAAACACACACCAACTTGAAACAAGCAAACATTGCATTCTTTTATTAATACATAAAATAACAACATTATTTTACATAGTTTTATAATTATTTAAAATCCTATGGTATGCATGCTGGAACTGGTTTAATTTGCATTCATACAGTTGTCTGCTTGAATGTTATTTCAATGGCAGCAACTTTGAATCTTAAACTAAACTGCTTGCATCAATCATGATAAACCTACGATGCCATCAGTACTGGGCATTAGGTAGGCTGGGTTTTCAGTCAAGGTTATGATGGTACCCTAATGTAGGGTAGGTCTTTGTATAATCCTCAGGTATGTCTTTGTACAACAGTCAATGAGCACTTAATTGTACAGTAACCTGAGACAATAATGATAAAATGTGTTGGGCCGTTGTTGCCAAGCAGACACTGCCTTTGTAGATGCTACTATGTACTAGGGGCTCACAAACCCTAGTACTCTTCCTCTTAGCTTATATTCTACAGGAAAACTCCTCTCAGCTTTCGTCAGTACAACAGCAGCAGAATTCATGTACAAGTTTTGGTTAATTTTTGTAAATCATAAATTTTAAAAATTCTTCTTCAAATGCTCTTTGCCTCTAAATATGCACATACTTACATACACATACTGAGGGAAAGAGAGATTTAGCAAATCTGGAAGTCTACGATGAATATTAAATATAACTGTTGGCAACATGCTCAATATTTTAATTTTAACATAATGATAAACCTTGAATTTTCAAATTCAAAACAAGGCAAGTTTGTTATTCAAGAATAAAGAGTAGCATTGTTTGATTGATAAACCAGTCTTGTAGACTAGAATGTCTGATTTTTGGTGCAATTTAAGTAAAGAAAAGTTTGAGCCAAGTTCTGACAAGCGTGATACTCTTTATAAAATGAATTTTCTGAAAATGAACCACGAAACTGAAAAAACGTGATGAAAATAAGAAGATAAAACTTTATGCACAACTGCAGTGTCTGTATAAAAAGAAACATTAAATTTCCATTGTCTAGACAAAAAAAATATTCTTACAAACTTTTGTAACTATCGAAAGCAAATGTTGAGCTGTTTACAGGAAGCATTCTTTTCATGTTGGATGCACCTAGGCTGTGATTATTTTTCCACAGAAATGAAAAACAAGTCGTAAAAATCAAGACAGAGGTAAAATGCTAAAATTAGTTAAATTCGTCCAGGTCTGACATTTTTCAAAGTATTTTGAAAGTAAAAAAGATATGAGCATTTCTGAACACCAGTTTGTGAATTTGTTTAATTTGGATTCCCGCTGCATTATGCTAACATGCACTTGTCTAAGCTATGATCATTTGAAGACAACAATAACATGGAGTTAAATTACATGTATTTTTAAAATTTGTATTTTTTTTCAAAGAGCATGCCAACTCAAAATGTTTGCCAAAACAAACAGTCTCTGAATGAAATTTCTAGGTCTATTTTCTCTATTATATTTGCTTTTATTCCATTCTCAAAAGCACGCATATGCATACTTTCAATAAATACGAATATTTCAGGAATTATTTATTCTCATTTATCAATATCCAAAATTACTTGATATATTCATTTTTGAATTGTTTACATATTAAAGAAGTTATTTTTTCTGAAGCTCTTAAGCTGAGATTTCCTCCCATCCAGAGTTATATTTTCATGTTATAATAAACAATGCTAGACAGGAAGATTGTTGCCTATAAATTCCATGTTTATTTTGTAAACACTGGCATGCCAGGCACTGGAAATCTATGCCAACAAAGTAAATCAGCCTGAAATCAACGATGGCATATTCCTCTCATTTTCAACATTAAATCAACAGACCATCCTGTAAGTTGAAACTTTTCAAACATTTAAAACAATATTTGCGATTAAGTTAGACAAATGAAAGTACACTAGAGTGCGATGATTAAGTGGCAACAGATACTATCCAAATATAACAAAAACTCCACAGCATTTGTTCAGCACGCTTGAAATTTACTGACCTTAATCAAATCTACTTGAATATCACTTGGGTCCAAGGTTCAGGTCAATTGAATTCACTCATTGATCACTTTTTCCTAGAAAATCGTGTGACCAGGTCAGTAATTAGCCAATTAAGGGAGATACATCATCTAAAGTATGATCAGTAAATCTATAGAATGATGTCAATTTGAGTGGTGCAATTTAATGCGTAATTTATCTAAATAATGATATTTCTACAGATTGATTCATAAATTTGAAATCAAATATTTCTGTACTTACAAAAATTCACATTAGAAAGAGAATGTTGATATAATTACAATGTAAATCTTTCCATGAAAAAGTAAATTTGACATATGATATCATATTATATGACATCATATCTACATGTACAGACAAACCTGTGAACATAGGTCACACAAACATGATCTTAATATAGACAAGTGGTCTTTATTTAGAGGTTACATATATGTTATATCTAATGTATGAAGGGTTGTTGAAGCATTTACAGGATGACCTTTATTCAGATGTGGTCTTTACCACAGGTTTAACTGTATTTCCATTTGTGCTATGGATTCGTAATGTTGTTAACAGTTACCTTCAGCAGATAATTCAAGTAAAAAAAAACTATTTTCAAAGCACAAAGTCTCAGGTGGGACTGCATGGACAGACATACCAAATTACTTTAAACATGTTTATTTCAGCATGAAGCTTAATTGAATAACTCTTAAATTCACTTCCTGGAACTAACCAGCTGTGAAAACATTTCATACTTGGCTGAACAGCAGCTAATTATTGGTTGACTTCCAGACACTTTATTAACCACTTAGGCCACAGTCCCCTCTTTATGCTACCTTGGATCAGTTAATTATTGGACAAATGCATGTCAGGGATGAGAAACAGATATTGATACAATCATAATTTTTTATAAGCAGAATCAAAATTCTCACATATCCTCTTGACAGATTCCCTGATAACAAGGTGTTGCACATAAATAATAAACATGCATTTTACAAATGTACATGCAGCTATTATTATCAATACTTATTTATTTCTTCCAAATAAAAATCTTGGCCCTAAAATTTACAATTCAGTCAAATTTACACATACTGAAAATTCTTCTCTGACAAAATTTAATGTAGGAAACACAAAAACTCAACATTTCTAAATAAACTCTGTACTGGTCGGAGACCATCAACCGGACACTTTTGGAACATTTTTACATACAGATTTCATAATTTTAAACCTAGAGACCAAAAAATTTGACACAGTTCAGCTAGGTTCTTCTCCTAACTAATAAACTAGTTTGTTTATTTCTGATTGTATTGACACTTATATCTGAGGCTCGACAAGGAGGGTATCAAAATGACCTAAATTGTCTACACTACAGTACCATGTGTCCGGACAGATCTGTACATGATGTGATTTAATTCAGATAAAAGCCTGGGTGTTTTGATTTTTGATTTGTAACATGATATACAATATGTCAGCAACAAATGCTGAAGTTTTGGATATTCTATTATTCACTCTGTAAATGATTATAGCTGGTATATGAGGTCAGGAATTGCTTTCTTGACCCCCGAATTGCAACGTTAACATTCTTGAAATAGACATTAAAATATTACCATTTACGGAGGTTGAAATAAATTCATTTACTTAATTTTAAAAGAAACATGCACTTATTGTTGATAAAAAAGTGACTGACAACCACTAAACAAAGAAAATACTAAATTAAGCATTTTCGGGGCCGTCCGGGTTAGGTGGTTGTCCGGTTTTGGTGGTCCCCAACCAGTATGTATATTTCATTAAATGGCACTGCCCTCTTTATTTACATCATAACTATTCCCACAAAATTCAATAACATCACCAACTAGACTGGAAATCTTTTAATTACAACAAAGGAACCAGTAACTCAGATAACTATACAAAAAAACAAATGAAAACAAATCATATCTTAAAACAAATAAATTCCTACGAATTTAGGCATGAAATCCTATTGGTAATTATTTTTCATGTGCCTGCCTGCCTGACATGCGATAGGAATTTCCATTAATTTTGTTAGATGGCATTGTATTGATTAAATTTTCCCTGATAATTATTAATAACATTATGTTGTTGGTGTGATACCTCAGACAAGAGCAAAATACAACTCCTTTATTCTCCCTATTTCCATTAAAGTGTTGCCGTAAAATTTGATATTTTAGGCTGTAACTGACTGAGTAATACTGGGTATTAATTATCACTCTTTTCCTTCTTAAATGCATGATAGTGAGCCACCTCTGTCAGCCCAATAATCCTCTTAAATGCATGCATAGAAGTCAAACACCAAATTCAGCCCAATATTTTCCTTCTTAAATGCATAAGTCATGCAACAACCTCATTTAGTCCAACATATTCCTCCTAAAATGCATGAATGCCCAATTATATATTCCTTCTTAAATGCATGACAGTCAGCAATTTCTGCGAGCCCAATATATTCTTTCTTAAATGTATGGCATGGTCAATAACCTCAGTGAGCCCAATATCTTCCTGTTTAAATGCATGACAGTCACCTCTGGGGCCAGTACATTTCTTCTAAAATGCAGGACAGTGAATCCAATATATTTATTCTTAAAATTACATGACAGCCATTTCTATGAGCCT